TTGATCTATATCAACGATTTATGTAACATTGAGATGCATCATGGGAAACTAATATCATACGCTGACGACACGGCCCTAATTTTTTCATCCAATAACGACAATGAACTGTACTGTAATGCTCAATTGGCTTTTAATTCAGTTAATAGTTGGCTTTGCTCTAATATACTAACACTAAATGCGGAGAAGACAAAATTTATTCACTTTTCTATGCGCAAGAGTCCAATTACCTCTGTTACACCCCAATTATACGCACATAAATGTAGAATTAGTCCAGTGGACACATGCAACTGCCCTTGTATATTAAAAACTACTTCCATCAGATATCTAGGCATCACAATTGATGAAACTCTTTGTTTCAAACAACACATCAGCGCTTTGGTTGCACGTGTCAGGAAATTGATGCACATTTTTAAAAAAATTAGACAAATCGGAGATGTTAAACTAATCACTCAAATCTACCTAGCGTTATGTCAGTCAATTATCCAGTACTGTGTTACTTCTTGGGGTGGCGCATCAAAAACTAATATACTCCCTCTAGAACGTGCTCAGAGAGCCATCCTAAAAGTTGCATTTTCCCATCCCTTTCTCTTTCCTACATCGATGCTATATAGATCCTGCAAAGTTTTAACTGTTCGCCAAATCTATGTAGTACAGCTAATACTCAAACAACATTCACTACTCAGCTTCAATGTTAATAATCTTACTAACAAAAGGCGGAATGATATGGTTTGCACTTCAACCTCAGTGTCAAAACACGCTTTTATAAAAAGATTCTTTATCTTTCTTGGCCCATTTTTATACAATAGAATAAATAGAGAATTAAGTATTTATAGCCTCAATCACTTTCACTGTAAAAAACTATTACATAATTATGTACACACCTTAACATACGATCAAACCGAGGAATTACTTGAAGTAAGCAAATAATTTTATTATAGTTGACTTAGTTATTTTTGCTTACGTTTGTTTATGAAACTGTACACGCGCACCTGTTATACTTAGAGACTAGCTTAATTTAATTTAGACATAACATTTTTAGTTTTATAAGCAATATTATTGTATCTATATAAATAAAAATCAATTCCCGTTCGTTAGTCTCGCTAAAACTCGAGAACGGCTGAACTGATTTGGCTAATTTTGGTCTTGATAGGTTCGTGGAAGTCCAGGGAAGGTTTAAAAGGTGAGAAAAAACATTAATAGGCGGTACGAAGTTTACCGGGCCAGCTAGTATTAAATATTTCAGTACATTTTTAACCTGAAACACAGGCTTGGACCTAGTTCAGGTTTCACATATTTTTAGACTTTGTTTAGATATTAAGATTTATTTTGTAATCTGGCTTTTTACACCAAATAAACATTTTATTATTATTATTATTAAAAAAAAAAAAGTATAAAGCGTTTGTTTAACTGACACTTGTTCTACTGGGCTTCACCCAGTTGTACAGTCTCTTTCTTTTTTGTGCCTATAGGTTTAATTCATTCTGTTTCCTGCACCGCGGGAAGTGAAAACTATCTACTGTAGGTACTGTACTGTAGATACTGTACTGTAGATATGTCTACTGTAGATCCTGGCTTACAGGAGTTGCAGCGGTTTTGGGAGGTTGTGGTGGGTTTGTCCCATAAAAAAATGACACTTGTTTTGATACTCCTTGTATGACAGAACCTAAAGATACTGTTGCACATATTCTAAAATAGCATGCTAAAAGGGGTTCTATTAAGCATGCTCAGAAATGTTCAAAAATCGAACGCCTGTCAATTCGCAAACAAGCCTGAAATGAGCATGCTAATTTTGAGCAACATTCCGATACACATGATTTCGTGCTTGAAATTGTTATGGATAACAGTACCTTTCGTCAGATCATAATTTTAACAAAACCTTATTTTACACTATAAAACATGTCCTTAGTATTAATGACTTTTTTTAGTAGGATAAGCCAGGAACGAGCAGACGGATCTGATGGTAAGCAATCGGCGTTGCCATGGACACCTGGAACACTAGAAGCGTTACAAGTGTACCTGTCTTTTGTGGATTATTAATTTGAGGATTGTTGGGGCTTCAGGGTTGTGGAGATTGGCCTCCAGTAACCTCACCCACACGACGATATTCAATGCAAGTGTGGTTTCACGTCGACTTTCTGCGAGGCCATGGTATTGCTCCAGTCAAGTCGCTTAGTCGTGCCGAAACATGCCTCTCCCACATTTAAGTTAAAAATGACTTTCTTAAGCTATAAAATATCATAACTTTTCCAATTCCCTTGGTAATTGGGAAAAGAGTTTGAAACCCCTTAACGAGTAGGTACTAAATAACAATGACAACATTTGACAAGGCCATTTCAAAGATCGCAATTTTAGTGGCCTAAAGTAAAATTCAGGAAAGTTCCGGACAATCCGATTGGCTGGTACAGGGAAAAATAAATGAAGCCAAGGTACACAGTTCAGTCAATTAACAAATAAATAAGCATTCCGCTGATTTTAAATACTTCTAATCCAACTATAGTCATGCAATCTTCAACCTTATGAAAATTGTCACGACGTGATAAAATTAAATGACTTGTGAAAAATCATAATACTTCACATATTTTAACAACAGAAAAAAGCAGATTTTCATTTTTAATTTGTTTTTTTTTTGTGTACGTTTTTGACATTACTATTGTGATAACCACATGCCATAAATTGTAGAAATGAGATAAACTTTGCTAATGTGTGCTTTGTCGGAGTACCTTAATTTAAATAAATTTGCGAAGAGTGGTACTAAAAATTATTGATATTGACTAGTTTTCATTATCTGTACTTTCTAAAGCTATTTTCGAATTGTCAAACTCAAAAAAGTATGAACAAATAGAAATAATAATCTAAGGTCACGCGACACATTGATCTCATCAACACTCATCCTTGACTTATTCAATTAGTAACATTTTAAAACACAAACCTGGTGAGGCCTGGTTCGAAGTGAAGGAATGTTAAAATTGTCGCAAACAGGAGGGTTAGAGCCCTTTCATTATCGACCCATAATAATAGAGCCGACAAATTAAATTCCTCTGTCG